AATAAATTTGGCTTTAATTTTGAGGTTATTTTATAAATAAAGACTGAGCTGTGCTTTCCTTTAGGTGTTTAAAATAACCACCTCCTTTTTTTTTACTGTTTTTTGGCTTCTTGGCTTGGATCACTCAGAACTTTAGAAGGCAAAACTAAATAGCTAGAGAACCTCAGCCACCCAGCCACCATGATGTATCAGCAGTTAAAAAGAATTTAGCCCTTTCTGTTTAGAGTAACAACTTGCATTAGTTTTCCTTTTGTTGGCTTTTAGACAGACAAAAAAATCCACTTCTCTGATCATCTTCTAGCAGTGGGAGCCATTTCTTCTTAACTGCCTTGGGTCTGTCAGTGAGAGATTGTTGCCAAACCTGGAGTGCTAATAGGAGGATTTCAGATAGCCCAAGGATTCTAATTTAGAACAGCTCAATCTTGTCTTTGTTTTAAGATATATTAACCTGAGATGCCACATCTGTCCAGACAGGAAACACATTATTCTTAGCCTACCTTCTCTTTAAAGGAAAGCCAGAGGATGTGTTAAATCCTGTTTACTGCACACCTACTTATTAGTGTCATCCATAGTTTCTTTATGTTATCATTATGTTTCTCTGTGTTGTCATTAAACAATCATTTCCCTGAAGTAACATTCATGGCTCTTGTCATTTATAATACCAGGACACTAGTGGTAAAGTCTCTTCTTGAATAAAGAGATGTTGCTTGCAGAGTGGCTTGCATGGACACGGCTGGGTCAGGCGGCCACGTCCATCCTAGAGAATCCCTAACTGTTGGGGGATTTGACATCCTGGGGAGGAGTTGTTAGTGCCTTCCTGCGGTTGAGTATAGTTACTGTGATTACTGCACAAGATACTTTCTTTTTGTCTGCTTTGGACCAGGTAGTGAACTGCCTGAAAATGGTTACTTTCCTGTGTTGCCTTTGAGCAGAAGAAATTGTTTTAGATTTAGACCTTAGCTGTTTTTTATGTTCTTCTGATGTGTGACAAGTCCACAACTGGATGAAACCCCGTGGGAGCCGGGAACTTTTGAGTCCCTGTATGCCTCTGGCCCCTGGCCATGTGACAGCCTAGAAGAAGGCCAGTGTTTTTCTTTGCTGGTAACTGCTAGATAAGTGGTTGAGGACCTGATAGAAAGAACAGTATAAAAGGGACTTTTAAAAAATCCAAATAGCCACATGTTTGTGAGTCTCCTGGCTGTGATGCTGCAGTCATCCATGGTGATAGAGGCAGAGCCAGGGAGATCAAGTGTGACCTTTGAGTCACAGTACGTAGTGGTAGGGGAAAGATGACTTTAATAAAATTTTGTTCTAGTGCTCATGGCCTGATTGTCGCTTACCATATTTGTCACAGAATACTTTAAAAATAGTTTGAGCAATGCTTATATTTAAAACACAGCTTTTGAAGAGCATGCATAACTTTCTGTTTCAAAACTGCCATGCATGTGATTTTTAAAAAATTATCTGAATTATTGCTTCTCATTAAAAAAACAAAAAAAACAAGGAGTAAAGAAGTTGTGCACGGTGGGATCTAGTGGCATACATCTGTAGGCACAGCTGCTTACCAGGCTAAGGCAGGAGGATCTTTTGAGCCCAGGGAATTTAAGGTCAACCTAGGTAAAATAGTGAGATCTTCTCTCAACAATATAAAGAGCTGGGGAGGTAGCGTAATGGTAGAGTGCCCCTGGGGTCAGTCCTTATCACTGCAAAAAATAAGTAAATAAATAAAAATGAATTAAAATTTGTTAACATTCATTTGTCAATATTTCAGGGGTCGGCTTTATAGTAAGTTATGTTTAACTTTTTTCTAAACTAGTAATGAGTTTCTTTTGGACCATTTGAAAATAGAGGAATGTACCTGTAAAGAATAAACAGCTGCACTGGCCGTGTGGTACAATGCTGGGCACACAATGAGCTTTCATCCACTTATTCAGTGAATGTGGAAAAAGTTAATACTGTTAATATTGTTTGAATAAATATATGTTTAGAATTTTTTATGTGTATTTTTTTCTTTTCCTAAAAGAAACAACATAGGGATCAGAACATGCAAATACTGTTATTTGTGCTCTTTAGATTTAAAGATATACTAAACATTTCTTATTTTTTACTTTTTATTTTGTCATTTTCTTTTCACTACCATTTTTTAAAAATTACTGTTCTTTTGTAGTAGCTGGAAGATTTGAATTTGTCTGAGACTTTTAGCAAGATGGCAGCCTCACTTTAGACATGTCTGCTAACAGAAGCATAGGTACTGACTGGCTGATGATAGACCCTCTAAAAACATGACCCTGACTTCACACCCTTCTCCCTGAAACTCTCAAATAGGGTCTTTTTTCCCTGTGGTCCTCACCTGAGTCGAGGCCTTCTCACTCAGTCCTGATTGCATCATCTCTTCCTCTTGTCACTCATTCCAAACTCATCTGCTTATTCTCCCTGTTTCTGTACATGAATGTTTCTCCAAGCCCTGCATCTTCTGTTAACTTGCTTATATTAGTAAGGTCTCAGGTCTTGGGAGACAATATTGTGGGGCTGCTATACTGTAGAATAAATTGTTTTTCTGGTGAAGACCTACTATTGACTTTTAAAACTTTAAATTAGTAGATTATCATAAACAAGAATTAAGTCATCCCCCCTGCACCTCCTTCTATCCAGAAATAGATGGAGGAAGCAAAAGAGAAATTAATTGGATTATGTTGGTTTGACTATTTTCTTTGGGAATTGAAACCCTTTAACAATTCTTAAAATTAAGCTCTCCCTTGGTTCTTTGGATAATGTAGTCATGTGGTTAACTTGGTTTTATCATATGTATCAATTCTGATTATATTTCCTCCTCCTTTCATAAAATTCTGCCTTCAACGTTACCCACTTTGAGGTTAAAAATAGGCCCATGGTGGGGAAATCCACACCCTGATTAACCCTGTCACTTTTATAAGTTGCAGCCCTGTCAACATATCCAAATAAACTTAGCATCTTGTAGTTTCAAGCCTCCTAAGTAATATTTATTTTTTTAAACAACTAGTCTAGCAATGGAGTTTTTATTGGAATCCTTCCCATCTGCATGTAAGGAAGCCACATAGTTAATATTTTTTTAAAAGATATGACCTATTTTGAAGGATTTGCTACCTACTTAGCTTGTGAATTATAAAAAATGTTATGATGTAGACTGATCATACCAAGAACATAAAGTTAGCATAAAGTGAGCAGGGGAGGTAATGGGGGAGAATATCTAAACATTGCGGGCTTAGTGAAGGACCCGGAGGACGAGGGAGTCAGCCTAGGGCTTCCAGAAAGGACAGTGACAAGCTAGACCTTAACAAGCTGGGTCAAGTGGAGAGAAAAAAAAAAAAGAGCCAGTTGAGCAAAAGCCTGGAATCAAGTCCTTAGGCTGGTAGGCACATAGAAGGAGAGGACTCAGGGAAAGCATTGTCACAAAATGAATGTCAGAAGGGAGAGCCTGGAACATGAGAGATAAGGAAAAAGATTCTTAAAATCGAGGCATGAGATGGTTATAGGAATATGAATGGGGATAGGTGCTCAGGCAGCAGTGGAGAGAGGGACCTTTCCAAGGAAAAATCATCAAGATTTGGTTTATGAGATTATGGAACAAAAGACATTGCAAGAGTTTAATGCTGGGGGATTGTTGTCATTCATTCATTCTTAAAATGCTTGGATTAAGACCCACAGTTGCAAGGTTCTCTTCCAGGTATTGGGAATTAAAACACTAAATAGAAGTTCTGCTCTTTGAAATTTCCTTTCTGGTGTTAAGTATATTAAAAACTTAGTGGCAACTAATTAGAGATCTCGAGATGTCATCATTTAGCTCCAGATTCTTTTATAATCTAAAAGTCAAGTGGGAAATGTTGATGAAGACACATCCATCTAGTATCTCCACTATATAAACCTACAGTGTTTTTATATTTCAGAACTGTAAAGATAAGAATGAAACTGTTAAATGGAAAATGGTGTATTTTACAGATCAAAGGGAGTGATACTACTCTAGATTTTGTCCTTTACCTCATAGTTAATAATCTTCAGAGCGTGGCCATGGAGTTTGAAATACCTAGGGAATTGTTGAGTTGTGAAAAGTTCCTTTTGTAGACTGGTTGGATTAAAATTAGGTCCATTTAATAACCAGAAAGAAATGAGCTGGATAATTTTTTTTTAAATCCCAATGATTTTTTTCCCTCAGAAATGTCCCTTTTTCCACCACCTGAGCATCTGTCCTCATTCATACTCCCATTATCTCATGCCTAGGTTGAACAAGACTAATACTTGATGGCTCTTTTTTCAGGTATTTTTTGTCAGCTCAGTTCTGAAGCAGCAGTATCTTATTTGACTTTTCAGTCACATTTTCTTCAGTTTTAAGGTGAAAAAATTTGTTAGACTAGGTAATTCCTTGATGAAAAGTGTTGCCATGAAAATAAAGACTTTTGAAAATTAAGGTATATTTTCCATGCTATTTTGAAAGCTTGAGTTACAAGAACATTGTCTAATTCAAATTTGATGCACTTAAATATTCATTGGATTTGGAAAACTTCCTTTTGTTTAGTTGACTTAGTTATATTTCATATGATTTTTATGGGAGTCACAATTAATCACCTGTAACAGTAGACATTATTCATAGTCTTTAAGGACAGAAGTAAAGAAGTTTGGGCATTAATAGGACTGTATGTTTTCATGTACCAAAGGAATATTAAAAATATTCTTAAGGAATAATTAAGATCTGAGCTATTTTATTTTTTAATTTTTCTTTTTAGTTTCTTCAGGCAGGGTCTCATGTAGTTTAGGCTGGCCTTAAACTCACTATGTAGCCCAGGCTGTCATTGAATTTGTAGCAACCCTCCTGCCTCAGCCTTGAGTGCTGGGATTATAGGTACACCACACCTGGCAAGATCTGAACTGCTTTAAATGTATTATCTCTCAGGATCTGAATTTCTCAGTTAAAAAAAATTATATGTCTTTTTCTTAAGGATGATTTAATGTTTTTAAATTTCCTTCAGGTAAAAGTGCAGTTTTGAAGTGTCTCCTGGATATCCACAAAATATTTCAGGAAAATGACCCAGCTTACATTTTGAATGACCTCTACATCTCAGACTACTGTGTGTGGATTCAGAAAGCCAAGTAAGTTTATATCACTAAGGAATTTTTATATGTTTACATCTTTGAAACACCACTTACCCAAGAGGAAGAAAATGAAATAACCTGGGTAATATGTTTTAATAAGAAAGAAACCCATTTAGCTACCAAACACTGTAGAAGTAACTAGACTAACATGAGAAGCTTGGTGAATTTACTTAGGGAAGGAGGTGCAGGTAATGAAAAGTTAATTTTATTAGAAGCAATTGGTATGGGTATAGACTGGAAAATAGTGTTTCAACAGAAGGTTTTGTGTGTTTCATTTCTGTATTCTTGCTGTCTCATATGAAATCTTCAAGACTGAATGTCTGAACTTGCATCTGTAGTTTAATATTTATAGTGGATGAGAATGTGTGTGAGTTGTACACTCATATTGATGTGTGTAAACATCACTGGATGCTAACCCAGTCCCGATGAGAGCTGTCCACTCATTGACTGGTCTTGTGGCATAGGGTGTCCATATTTCAAAGTATAGAAAATCCAGCCCTCAGAGCCTAAGAGCATGATTCTTGATCACATGTATTGTTATATCCGAATATTCAAAATGGGCTCCAGCACTTGGCATGTCAGATATTCAAAAAGCATTTACATTGCCTCAATCAAGAAGACATAAAAGGTTAACTATGAAATTTTAAAATGTGGTGAATTTTTATTTAGTGAAGGAGCTCTGAAGATCTTACTCTTGTCAGACGTGGCCAAGATATCCATTTCAGTAGCAAGTAGTGTTACTTGAGGGGATAAAGAGAGCTTTTGATTGGAATGCTTCCTGGGTGCTGTAGAAAATGATAGCACGATATCAATCATGACTTGGAAAATAATTATGATATTTTTATTATTATGGTGATTGGTAAGTGAATGTGTTAGTATAGCTTCTGCTATGGTTGTTTTGACTCAGGCATTATTAGAATTTATTTTTGATTTCTGTTCATGGGGGAGTAATTATATTATAGAGTGAAATATGAAAAAAACTTGAGGTTATACCTGGTGTATGGAAAATGCTTAGGGTTTGCTCAGGATATCGCCTAATAACATACAGCAGGTGGTGTCAGCATTTGTGTTGGAAATCTAGATTTGGCCAGATGGAAAATTGAATCTTTAACCCCCAAGGTCATAATGGCATATCATCACTTCATTTGATCCTCCTGCTAATTGAGCTCGTCAAATACAGTACACTGCTGCCATTTCCTGTTGTTACTTCCATTTTCATAATAAAATTAAATTGAAATAGTCTATCTATATAGCTTTTTTTTTTAAGGGTAGGGGTTTTATAAACATATAATAAGTATTGAGGTTTGTAGCAGGATCCCTTCTCCATGAATGCTCATTTTTCTGTTTGTCACCTTGCTTATTAACAGAGAAGATCGTATTTCATTAAAGTAAAAAGATATAGGTCCTCAAATTGATATGGAGATTATCAGATTTACTTTCTCTTAAGAATTTTGTTTTTCTCTTGGTTTTAAGTTGTGGGAAGTAAGCGAAATCCTTAGGTTGTTAATAGTTCTGATGATAGTAATTTGCTTTTGAAAAGGAGTAATGTATGTATTGGAGAGTGAGATAGGAGAGGGCAACCACTAGGAATTCTTCAAACAGTTCTTTTAAAAGCTGATTCTTCAACTTTACCAATTTAAATATAACTTCTTTCCCTAAATGGACTGCAGTGTTTTTACTTTGTGTATTAAAGATTTATTTTTTCTCCTCCTTTGAAATAAAACATTTCTTTATGTAACTTTAATTTCATCCTTAATTTTACAAGTGCTACATGATTGGGCTTTCTTCTGTCATCTTGCTGTGAACTTTCTCAGCTCTGAATTAATTATACTGCAGAGTATATTCATGATCTTCACAACTTTTTCCTCACTTTTTGCCTTCTGGTTTATTTCTTCATATAATATACCAGTGAAATGGAGTACCTTATTTTTATGTTTTAAAACGGTTGTGTATTTTCTTTAGTCTGTTTTTGATGGTTTTGATTATAATAATAAAAACTGTAAAATTTTATTTGAAATACTAGACAAGTGTACAATTCTAATAGAGTTCCATTTTACAGTGAGACATTTATTTTGGCACAAACTTGTTGGAATGTAGATAGCAAAGTCATTCTTACATGAAACTAATGAAGTTAGAGTAACAGTTACCATAAGTTTGCTTTAGTACTAGGTAGTGATCTCTTCTTAGGATATCTATGTCTTATAGAAGATATTTGCAAATCTTAAAAATGAAGGCTCCTGGATTCTTATTCTGAGTTACAGATTTTGCAAATTAGTTTTCTGAAAAGTACTCCTGCTATCCCTTTCTGTAAGCCCTACTGGAAGATGAATGTAGTGCCCATGACAGCAAATATTCCCTGGGTGGCATCAAGAAGAATCAGTTTGCTTGAGGTATTGGCTTATGAAAGTTAGGTCTGCCATAGTGTCATATCTTCTGATTCCAGATATTTTTCCAGATATGTCACCTATATAACCAGTTGTCTTCTCCCATGGAATATGGAAGGAGAAAAGACATGCTTCCCTTTAGAGAACTTTCCAAGAGGGAAAGGAGTTGATGAATCATTCATCTTCCTCATAGATGTTCTTGTAGTGCTTGGTTGAGCAACCGCTGGCCACATCTCATGCCTGAATCCTATTGTAGTAATCTGGATTTCATCTCTTCCCCCTCTACCGCTGTAGGGAGCATGAGAAGGAGCCTGCACCTGGTCCTGTCATAGTCCTTGTGAGCAGTGAATTGTAGTTAAATTCAATAGTACCTACTAGAGCCAATTCAAGGAGACTTTTTCATTGTTTAAAAAAAATGTAGCACTTTAAAAAATGTGAATTAGCTGTACCTTATTTTTATTGAATTGTTCAGCTACATTCAGAATCAGATTTCTTTTGATTTTATCCTGGTGGGCTGCCATTATTAGAAGCACTTATAGTTCTGCCCCCTGAAAATGTAGCAGCTTATACATCCTTTATATATGCAGGACAGAAAACAATGAAATGTAGTATGTTCCAGCTCTACTTCTCATTAGCCATGTGACCGTAGAAAGTCACTTCACCTAATGCAACTAGTATTTGTATTTTAATATTTCCTCTATAGTTAGTTCCCAGCTCCTTTTTAAACCAGTGGAAATAATAGTGTACCTATCATTTGTAACCTGTTTTATACTTATAATGGTACCAAATAAGTCATCTCCCTTCATCATACAGTATCCATTTGGTGTATTTTTTTAAAATAACTGATTTATTCCTCATTGTAAAAGGAGACTATGCTCACTGAAGAAAATTTGACATTGAAACTGTTTGATTGTAACTCGTGGTCCATTTTGAAATTTTGAAACAAGGGATCCAGTAAGACATTTTGGTTTTGTTACATAAAAAATTTTGTTTTGTTTTAAAAAAATAAATCTAAAATCCTGACTGCCTTCAGGACAAATCTGAGGTTGTAATTAATGTGTTAAATCACTTTTTTCTTTCTAGTGCAGTTTGTTGTTGGTCTACCACTCAGTTCACCCCCAGCCCATCTAGTATAGTTAATTAAAGTTAAATAGTCATGGAAGAAAAAAAAAATGTCTCTGAAATACTGAATGTATTTGCATAGAGCTGACAAATAGTTAACTCTAATTCTCTTAGTACACTTGTTTTTTCACTGCTTTTAAGCATACTTTTCCCCCTAACTGAGATTTTATGACGCTTTGGGCACTAACTAAAGTGGAAAGTTTGTAGAGGGAAACAGTTTCTCACTAAATAATTATATCTCATTTCATAAATCCTGAGCCTCACTTTCCTTGGTTGTAAGTGAACCCAAACTAGCTCAACACCAAAATCTTATAATTTCAATAATTAAGGCTTTACATTACTTTATACTGCTCTCGTTGCTTCCTTTACACTGCTTTGGTTATGTACTTTGGTAGGGGATAGGATTATGCTCCTCAGAACCACATGGATACACACATGTATGTCTTTCTTTTGCTTGCTCTTGTTCCTGATTACCTGCCCAAAAGAGGGAGATTGAGTCCTGTGTAGAGAGGTACAGCATCAGCATTAAGTATACAAGTTGAATCACGTAATTTTGTCAGGATTATTGAGCCCCACTATGTGCCAGATGCCGACATTGGTGTTAGGGATACTCTCACGAGTAACAGAGATATGTCATTGTTTGTTTTGTCTTTGAGTGAGGTTCTCACTATGTAGCCCAGGCTGGCCTTGAACTCATGGCGATCCTTCTGCCTCAGCCTTCTGAGTGCTGAAATTACAGGCATGCGCCACCATATTTGGCTGAGAAATGTCATCTTAAAGCTGAGCATCCCAATGGAGAATACAGATTTAAGCAGAATATTGTGCTGTACCTGATAGTGATTACAGAGGGGATGTACAGATACGGTGGAAGCACCACAGCTAGCTTTGGTGCTAGCTTTGGGGTACAAGAAAATGTTTCTCGTTTTGGTTTGAAAATGGTTTGTCCCCACCAAAACTCTCGTAGGAGCTTGGACCCAGTGTAATAGTGTTGAGAGGTGGTGGGACCATTAGGCCAGAGAAAACTGAGAGAGTGAGGTTCATGCAGAGCTGCAGCCACTTAAAGATGTTGAGGCTATGTGCTGGGAGTGTGGAGCAACTAAGGGGTTTTGAGCTGTGTTGTGCTTGCGTGAAGGCAAATGAATCACTTTGGGGCAGAGCTTAGTGCCCCATAGTGCGTGAAGGCTGGGTAGGAGGGTGGTCATGCAGCTTAAGAATGATCCATATGTGTCTGAGCCAGGCTAGTGAGAGAAAAGGAAAACTCCAGAGAGGCAGATGAGACAGACAAGTGGTTGGCTGCTTTGCGAGGTGAAAGGTGAGATCCAGGGTTTAACTTGGCTAGTTCACTGGGCCATAGAAGATGCATTTCCTGATCTGACATGATATTGCACAGGGTATAGATTGAGAGAGAAGATGAGTTCAGTCTTGAAAATGTTGATTTGAGTCCTCTAAGGAACATGCAAAAAGAGGTGGCCTTCTGAGTCACAGCTGGGG